AATTATGTTTAAGTTTAAAAAATTATAATGGCATTATTTAATAAATAAATTTAAAAATTAAATTTATGATATAAACTATTTTAGCCTAAGAAWTATTGGAATTTTCTCACTTTCTCATATTAAAAAAAGATATTTAAATTATAAAATATTAATATATTTATGGTTAGGTCGTTCGATTTTAATCAGTTTACAAATGGTTAAAGTGAAACTGATCCAACCTAGTCAGGTTGGGAAATTGTTGAACCAAAGCCGATTGGAAATACTAGAAATCGATTTGGTCAGTTTCATTAGTTTGATTTAGAATGGCAAAGGGGTGGGACGGGGACAAAGAGCCTCTCCCCATCCCCATTCCCACGAAAATCTCCACCAACATACTCTGTCCCCATCCCCACTAACGGGGACAAAGTTATCCCCATCCCCACAGGGATCCCAACTCCCCCGTGATTCTTTATAATGTCAATCATTATGTTTTTGTTTTTTATTTTATTTAAAAAATAAAAATTAAATAATTAAAATTTACAATCCTATTAGAAAATATTCAAACATATTGAACCATATTTTTAAAAAGATTAACATATAGACGTATGTGTACATATATACATATATAAGCATATGCATATATATATACACATATATATATATATATATATATATATATATATATATATATATATATATATATATATATATATATATTAGCGAGGATTGGGGTCCCCAAGGGATAGGGAGTGCTCTCACCGTCCCCCGCCAACGGGGATGAAAGTTTCCCCATCTCCATCCTAACGGGAAATCATCCCCATCCTTGCTCCATTCGGGGTAGATCCCCACAGGGATTGGGGAAATGGGAAAAATTGTCATGACTAAGTTTAATAAACAACCTATCTAAAATTAATTATTGTTATTTTTGTATTGTAAAAAATTATTAAAAGTAGTATATAAAAAATAGATGATTATTAATTTTTATATAAAACAATTGTATACTCATACATGTTTCTATTGTTTATCTTTAACTTAACAAATCCCGTGCATTGCATGGGTCGCCGCTATTATATATTAAAACAAGGAAGTGTAGAAATTTTCTCATTTTTTTTGAATTTTTTATTTCTTTTAATCCATGTCATTTTGAAACTGCCAATTACAAACTCTACTTTTCCCAAAAAAAATATTCCTAAACAACCTCCCCCACTATCCCCAACTTTCTCCTAAGTTATCTCTAATTCAGTAGAGTTTCTCTCCTAAATTATCTCTAATTCTTATTTATCCATCTAAAGAAAGTTTCAAATAAAAAATTAAGAATTATTTAAATACTCAAACAAAATTCTATAATAACTTTAAAATATTTATTAAAAAGATAAAAAATAATTATAATCAATTTAATAATATTCATATTATTAATAATTACATATTTTTACAAAACTCATCACAAAATTATGTACAAAAAATATAAATTATGATTTTCAGGATTATTCAATCTAAATGTTATTCATATATATCTAACATTAAAAAATGAAATAATATTTCAATAACTAAATATCTTAAATAACAAAATATTAAAATTAACATTTTAAATCAATTAATAATATATTTTAAATAATTACTGAATAAATTTCAATTATAATAAATATATTAAGATTTTAAATATTTAGTTAAAACACTAAATATTTTAAACAATGAACTATTTAACATAACTAGATTTTAAATAGTTCAAATAACAAAATTATGTATTAATACTACTATAATTTTATGGATTATTAAATCCAACAAGTAATTAATATTTTAAAGGGTAAATCTCTTAAGCTACCCCTAATGTTCACAAAATTGACAAACTGTACCTTTACTGTTTATATATTGTCTTAAAGTATCCTTAAATTTTCTGACAATTGACACGCAAGTAAACACTAATGAAAAAAAAAATGAAATATCGAATTTTTCCTTCATTATTCATCAAATTTTCAAAATAAAACCTAACTGATGAAAATCCCCTGATTTTCAATCTTTTCCAAATACAAATATGAAAGAATGTTGATTAACTCGGAGCAACGTTTACTATGTTCTCAGCCGGGTTGTATAAAATAAAACAGTGGTGGCCGAGTTCAACCACCGAAGATGAGATGGAACTTGGTCCGTGTTATTACTACGAATCTACGATGACTTGATTGACAAGTCTAATGGCTTTTAGGAAATCTACAGCGTCGCTTCAAAGTTGAAACTCTCTCTCACACCTCAGTCACCGGGTTCCGACGTTGTGGAGCCTACCATATAACCAGTGCAGATTGATTCTAATAGCGATATCTAATCTTGATCATCAAATCAACAAAAGTTAGGATAGGATCCTGTGAAGAGAAAGCACAAATACAAATCACAACACAACACTCGTAAGACAAATCCAACAACAAGGTTTTATTATACGAAGATGCAAACACGATACCACAGACTCGTACACGCACCACCCATCATGAGAAGAGAGCCAATGTCTATGTCTTCTCCTCATCCCTTCACACATAAGGACCCTTACTTATAAGCCAACCCCCAACTAACAAATAGAAACACGAGACACACAGACACACCTCTGATCTCTTACATCTTTAAAGAGGTTTTTCAAGTTTCAACCCATCCGAGAATAGAGAGGGCTGCACCACGTGTCTTTATTTTCTTATATATATAAACAAAGGAAGCTATGGAACTTGGTGGTTGATTAAAATTAAATAACCAAGACAAGGTCGAGAACAGACTTGCCCGCTCTGCCACAGGCATAAACCAACAAATTTGTGCTACACAGATGTTCGTGTTCATACGACCATGGACGAATCAATATTCACTGTGTAAGGATCTCCACCGTTGAATTCAGACCAACCCCGGCCAACATCAGTTAAACGTTGTTCGGTGTGAATAAGCTACTGTGAAGTTAGGGGTGTCGATGAACCGGTTTTGGGTTGGACTCCGTCCAAATCAGAATTTATTTGGACAGATTGGACGGACCAATAAGACATATTGAATTTGGATGAATTGGATGAACCAATATGACATATTGGATTGGACCTGGTCCGTTCATGATAAATTTATATTGGACTGAGCCAATATTTGATCCATTAATAAAAGATAAGAACATAGGTGTTAATGGACCAGGTTTGAGTTGAARCATATGTAAATTAATAGGAATTTGAACAAATTGAACAATCTTTGGACCAGTCCAAAATGGTCCAAAATATTCATTGGACTGGATTAGACCAGGTCCATTTTTAATGAACTCGTATTAGACTGGACCGGATTGGACCAAATCAGTCCAACTGACACCCCTACGTGAAACCGGTGATGCCAGAGGAGTGGTCTTCTGTTCTTAAACTCAAACGATGGATTATGCGCGGGACCCATTTTTATGCATCAAGGGCCTAGGGGGCCTCTGAAGTCTTCTACTCTAAAATTCAAATAGTGGTTGGGTTATGCATCGGACCCATTAATTGTAGACAATTCATGACCCGTAGCAGATTAGAACCGGAGGAGAGGTCTTGTCGCAGTCTATAGCTCCATGGGAATCACTTGTTTTCTGCCTCCACAGTCGTTCTCCCCAACGACCATCACCGTTAAGAGGATAGCTCCGTTTGGAAGTTGTAGTGGCCACTGTTGTCTGCGATGACGATACTAAAATCATCGCCACTACTACAACTTCTAACAAGGGCGATGAACAATAAGGGTATTTTAGGAATTTTAAATAATTACTACTCATGTGATGTTACATGTGAACGGAGTGTGATGAAAAATTAATGATAAGGGAGGTTTTAGACAATTGTCAAAAAACTTAAGGGTACTTTAAGACAATATATAAATAGTAAGGGTACAGTTTGTCAATTTTGTGAATAGTAGGGGTAGTTTAAGAGATTTACCCTATTTTAAAATTTAAATTATGATATTATTTCAATAAATAAGTAATATTGTAAATAACTAATTTGATTTATACAAATTAATAATTCTAGAAAATAACTTTCAAAAAAATATTATTTATCAATAATAATTTTAAAAACTTAATCTTTATTTATTATATATTTATCTATACTAAAATTAATACTTATTGTATTTCAGTAATTATTTATTTTTTTGTGATAAATATATTTTCAATAATTATTTATAAATCTATTTTTGTTTTGTTATTTAATAGAAAATTTTCAATAATTTTTGGAGTTTAAATTACTGTTATTTAGCTTTTTTAATTTAATTTATTGTGTACTTTCGCTATAAATTTTTAATAACTATTGGAGATTAAACTATTGTTCATGGGTTGGTTTAGTTCAATTGTATGTTGTTTGGCCAACCAAATTGACCCGATTAGGTTGGGGGGTTGGTTACTTAGGTTATATCGGCTTTGGTTAGTTGGTTCAAAATATTTAAACTTAAAAAAATTAAATTTAAAAATTAAGTTTAAATTGTAAAAAAATTGCAATGGCATTATTAAAATAATAAATTTAAAAATTAAATTTATGATAAAAACTATTTTAGCCTAAGAAATATTGGAATTTCCCACTTTTCTGTATTAAAAAATATATTTAAAATATAAAATATTAATATATATCTATGGTCGGGTCGTTCGATTTTATTCAGTTTACAAATAACCAAAGCGAAACTGATCCAACCTAATCGGGTTGGGAGATTGTTGAACCAAAGCCGACTGAAAATACTAGAAATCGAGTTGGTCAATTTCATTAGTTTGATTCGGAATGGCAACGGAGCAGCCGGGGACAAGGAGCCTCTCCCCATCCCTGCCTCATGAAAATCCCCATCCACGTCCCCGTCTCCATACCAGCTAACGGGGACAAAGTTATCCCCATCCCCATCTATTTTATCCTTCATTATTCTTTAAATTTTTAAAATGAAAAAAATATATATTTATTTATAAATAAAGATATTTTTCTAACCATAAATATCAAATTCAGAAAAAAAATAAGGAAAAATGAACCTGAATCAAATTTAATTTTGAGGTTGTTAGCTCTTAGACTTACCATTTGCAACTTACAGTGTCATATTTGAAGTTAATCCCATTGGCTACTTTTCATCCTTCTCACTTTTTTCAAAATTTCCTACAAAATTAAATAGAAGTTGATTTAGGGCACTATTCCAAAACCGTGAATCAAGGAGTTGGCTTGGACCAATAGAGTAAAAATCATGAACTGGTTTTTCCCTACCAACTTCAGGCATTTAATTTCTTTTTTTCCAATCGTAAGGTGTGTTAATAGTTACTTCTTTTTATTTACCTTTTAATTACAAGAAAACCCAAGGGAATGCTCGAGCTCGAATCATAGAGAGTGCCAATCATTTATTGTTGTTTTTACTATTTTTCAAAGCTCGAATTGAGTTCGAGTTAACCAAGTTCGAATAATTAGATATTCTCAGTTTGAATCCACCCCTAAGAGACACGGAAAATTTTACCATCTAATTTTCCTTAACATAATAATAGGAAATGGTAGTATAAGTGAACCAAAAAAAACTCTCCTCTCTCCTCTCTCCTCTCTCCTCTCTCCTCTCTCTCTCAATGTTATACCGACACAAACAGCTTATAAGCTAGTCACGTTTGGGGTAAATCCCGTAAAGCCTTAAATAAGCTTTCCTTCAGCGAAAAACATTAGCTTTTAGGTAAAACTTGTTTTAGTGGCTCGGTAGCTCAATCAAATGCCCTTGGGAGGGCTTTCAAGTAGCGGCTTCATGCTTTGCAAGGTGAGTCCTACACAAACAACCTATAAGCCATACTTTGTGAAAACATCGTAAAGCTTAAATATGGTTTAATTCAGCCAAAAGAACAAGGCCTTGAGGTGAATTTTTTTTCTTACCGCATTGACTCATTGTTACATATAGTGATATAGATTAACAACTAAACATAGATCTGATGGTTCTAGAAGCGTATAACAAAAACAGAACCTTTGTTTTGGAGATAGGATTTATGGGTAAACGATGGTGCGGAACTAAAGCCATGTTTGGGAATGTTTATTTGGACGGGGACCACACCATTAAGCTGGTGTTTGGAAAATAAAACTAAAATAAGTGTTTATTTTAAAAATAACGGCTTATTTTTTAAATCCAAATTTTCAGCTTTTTTAAGTGTTCATATAATAAGCATTTATTCAAAATTTTTCTTCCAGTATAGTCCCCGGCAAATTTTTAAAATATCCTTTTACAAAAGTTATTTTACAAAGGCATTTTTATAAAAGTAATTTTATAAAAAGTACTTTTACGAAAGCATTTTTACAAAAGTACTTTTACAAAATCACTTTTAAGAAAGTACTTTTATGAAAGCACTTTTACATGAACGCACTTTTATAAAAGTACTTTTACATGAAAACACTTTTATGAAAGCACTTTTATAATGAAAGTACTTTTACGAAAGTATTTTTATGAAAGCACTTTTATAAAAATACTTTTACGAAAGTACTTTACAAAAGTACTTTTATGAAAGTACTCTTATAAAAGTACTTTTATAAAAGAACTTTATGGAAGTACTTATGTAAGTACTATTATAAAAGTATTTTTACAGAAGTACTTTTATGAAAGCACTTTTATAAAAGTACTTATATAAAATCACTTCTATCAAAGTACTTTTATTCATTCACTTTGGATTGGATATTTTGAAATTTTGAAAGAATAAAAGTCAAAGACCACCAAACGCCCAATACAAAAAATAAGCACTTATTTTTAACATAAGCACTCTCAAACATGGCCTAAGAGCGATATCATTGGATTGTTTCTTCAAATGGGCAATTGATAGAGGAAATATCAATCTGATGTTCCCCTAACACCCCTTGGACTATGTTTCTTGAAAAAAAAATGCTTTATAAACATTTTAACTCAAAAATCTCAACCAAATAGAATGTTGCCATTGAAACTCAAAATGCTTGGGTGGCAGTAATTCACCGGTATGACAGTATTTCATATAGAAACGACAATGGTAGGGGTGTAAACGGATCGAATTCAAATCGGATCAGGCAATATCCGAATTCGAATCCAATTAAAAAATTTGATATCCGACGGATATCAAAAATTAATATTCGAATTTGAATCCGACTAAATATTCAAATATTCGATTCGATTCGAATTCGACTAATTAATTATTTTAAATAATTAATAAATATATAAAATAAATATTATATATATAAAGTATATAAATATATAAATTATTTATATAATTTAATTATTATATATAAAACATTTAAAATTTTTATATATTATATATAAAAATTAAATAATCGGTYGAATTCGGATATTTATCAAATCGAATCAGGTCATACCCAAATTCAAATCCGATTAACTATTCGGTATGAATAGAATATCTAAATTCAACCGATTAACTATTTGAATTATCCGAATTTGATTCGATTATGTCGAATCTTGAAATCAAAATCGGATTTCCGAATACAGTTGACACCCCTAGACAATAGACAATGGTACCAAACACCACATGTCTATTTCAGATAATTAAAAAAACACGGTTGGTGCCAATAGCCGAAATATTGAACATGATGGGCATATGGCAGATTATGGGTTCCCAAATTCATCTGGATTTAATAACCACAAAGGGCCAGGCCCAAGATTTTGCTTCCAAATTGTAGGAATATGGGTTGGCCCAATTTTGGATATGGCCTTTGGCCTCCCTAACCCAATCAATGTTAACCCTATTTATAGAGTTGAATGACAGAATTCCCATCGCTGACCAAACATAATTTGGGCAAACGCCGGTTGTCTCTTAGTGAGCTGGTTTTCTTAGGGTTTCAACTTTCAAGCAAGTAGTATTGTTTTCAACTTGTGAATGACCCCCGTACTAAATACGGGGAATGGGGAATGGGGAAGTTAATTATATATATATTATATATATTATATTTATTATATGTATTTAATATATATATATATATTGTATAATACACACATATGTAATAAAATTATATATATATATATATATATGTGTGTGTGTGTGAGAAAGAGTATATTTAATAATTATATATGAAAGATATATAATTATAATACATATTATATGTATAATTATATATGAAATATTAATATTATATATACGCATATGTATTATATGTGTATATATATAATACAAACATATATAATACACACATATTTAATATATATATATATATATAATTAGATAATATATGTATAATTATATATATATATATATGTATAATAATTACAGTAATTATTTCAAATTAACAGTAACCGGTATAAAACGGTTCGAATATAGACCCGACCCAACGGCCCAAATCATATTCTTCTTCACCCGAAATTCTGTTCGTTCGGTCGTTAGAGCCAGGAATAAAAGAGGCTGCGACAGACAAAAAATGGGTGCTTTACCACCCTTTTCAAGAACAAAACAGGTTTAAAAGATAAGTATAGGTACAAAATGTTTAAATAGAAAACTAAAATATCAAACAAAACTAATCTATACATATCTGAAAATGTTTCAGTCGCTGATAGAGTGACCAAAACAGTAGGCTTCGGCAGATTAAAATGGGTGTTTTACCACCCATTTCAACAACATATCAAGTTTAAATAACAACAGTTGTACAAAAACAGAGATTCATACCAAATTTAAATAGACTAACCGGATTGACAACGGATCTCTGAAAATGAAGTTTGAAGAAATCAGGGGATTGCGGTTTCACAAAGGACTTTCCTTGAACCAAGATGGYCATTTACTGTGCAGGAACCAAGGTAGCCGTTAGGATCTGTGCATCCAAGAACGAAGATGGTCGTTTTCCATTCATTAACATGTCAAAAAACCTGAAAAAAGAAATGATCAAAGAATTCAGAGGAAAATAAATAAGCAGTATTGAAGAAAACTTGAAGGAAAGAACGGAATCAGTAATAGCTACCATTCATCCAGTCTTGGAGGTTGGAAGTAATATGAGGTTCTGTATGGCTGATTTATTGAAGTAATCTGAAGAGGATTTGAATGAGCAGAAAGGTTTCTTAGAGTTGGAGACTTGTTTGAAATGCATCTCATTCTCCATTTAGGAACTGATAGAGAGTGGGAGCTTCCCTCTCCTCACTTCTCAAAGCTTCCCACTTCTCACGTATGGAAACTTTAATGCAGTGGGTTTGAACTCATTCTCCAATTTTTTAAGAACTGATAGAGAGTGGGAGCTTCCCACTCCTCATTCTCAAAGCTTCCCACTTGTCACGAATGAAAACTTTAATGCAGTGGGTTTGAATTAGTGGTCTCTCTTGAAAAACTCAGGATATATTTAAGCCTTTTCTCTTACTTTTTCTTTTATATTTCTGTTTAGATAGGGTTTATTGATATTACTGATCAAAACAGAAATATAAAAGAAAAAGTAAGAGAAAAGACTTAAATATATCCTGAGTTTTTCAAAAAGGCCGATATATCTTGTGATCTTTTCCTCTTCATTTTCTTTCAAAATTTCGAAATATACCCTCAATTTTTTAAACTCATGTGGGTCGCATATCAAATAAAAGATGAATGGGTGTCTGGACGAATAAATAGAGATATCCTATGAGACAAGAATTAACCAAACTCAGGCTAGAAAGTCCATGGTGAGATGGACCAAACTTCCAAGTGAAGTAATAATCATATCCATTGTCCATTGTAACTCTAGTCCATGATTAATTATCGGGTATGTTTAAGTCTTTTAATAGTCATAGAAGACAACTATTATGCAAGATGGATGTGAATCCTTTAGAATTTGAACCAGTTTAGTGGCCAACTTTTTTTAGAGTGGGTTTATTGACTAATATGAGTTCAACCCAATTGCTAGGGCTGTTCACGGGTTGGGTTGGGTCGGTTTATTGATGTTTTTTCAATCGATTCGACCTGGTCGGGTTACCTGAAATTGAAACCAAAACCGGCCCTGTGTTAAGCAAAACCGACTTGATCGGTTTGAGTCGGTTTGGGTCGGTTTCGGCTCTACGTAGTGGTGATTCAGTTGCTGTTTATTTCTGGCTCTACATTCTCAAAGGAAACCGGCATTTCCTTAATGTTTTGTGGCCCATCTATGAATCCAGATTTTGTGGAGGGAGCAGAGTTTGAGAGTACTATTTGTTGGAGTAAGATTTCAATCTGCATGAAAATATATAATGGATGGATCAAACTATCAAAGCTGGCCGGATCCAACAAAAGCTAAGAAAATGCTCTCTGCTACTGTAGATAAGTAGTGGTGCAATATTGAAATTTAAGGCAAACATTTATTCATATACTCTTTTTTTATTCACTAATGGAGTGATGGGTCTTGGGTCATCTTTAATGTTTACAACATACCTCTTGATGAACTCAGTAGTGAAGAACTAACTACCAAGTCGGTTCGGGTCGGGTCGGGTCAGTTTCGGTTTTCATGTGTAAAAACCAAAATCAAACCGAATCATCGGTTTATGATTTTTTATAACCCAAAACCAACCGGTGTTGAAGAAAACCCGCCCGATTCGGGTTGGGTCGGACCAGGTTGGTCGGGTTGGATCTTCTTATGAACAGCCCTACCAAGTGCATAAAATTACAGTGCGGGCTGAGTTTAGATTGGAAAGATTAGACTTGACCTCGACTTGGTCTAGGCTCRGGTTTTAAGTCTAAATTTTAGGACCGGGCCTGAATTGACCATAAACCCAGCCCAACCCACCCAACTTACACCCCTCCAGTGGAGGGTATGTTTAAGTCTAGTGGGGCTAGCTAACAAGGTATATTTAAGCCTTTTTGAAAAACTCAGATACATTTAAGCCAATTTATGAAAACTTTACCTAGTGAGTAGGGATATAAAGGCTTTTGTAGAGATCAAATTAGATTTTAAGCTCATATTCTATTAACACTAGCAATCATAAAAGAGATTTTCTAAGCACAACCTATTAGTAGTAGGAGGAAACCAAATAGGGACCCTTTAGGATGGTTTCATTTTATTTCTGCAATCCGCTCCCATTAGATGCCTTATGTTGTTGCATCAGATTTTGAACCTAAGCTGAAGGTGCTCCTTACCTGAGAGGAAACTTTTCTGAGATTAAATTGGAATCTGCAGAACATCCCTACCCCACCTCCTATTCTCATGTATGTACTTGAATCCAAGCCACTAGAGGAAAGTTTTCCATCACTTGAGAGGCCACTTTCTAAATAGAACCCCTTTAAGTAAAACCTAAGAAACTGCTTTACTTTGTCATGTGGAAAGAGCTACTCTGCTGAAAAAAGCTACCCCATAAGCAGAGGATTGTTTTGGAGGCTTTAGGTCAGCCACTTGAGCTGACAACTCTTAGAAATTAATCTCAGAAAAAGGTGATCAAATTATTGACATATTGGTAGAACTTTTGCCCCATTGAACAATGCACTATGTCACAACAGATGATGAGATCATAAAAAGTTGATCAATGTTTAACTACAAAAATTTGGTGGGTTGCTTTGGGGGAAAAGGGGGTGTGAAGAGATCAAACTATGATGTCTTTCAATGGAACTAGATTGAATATGCTAGTGTTTTTGGCCTTGCTGTGGATGATGACATTGTTGTTGCTATAGATGCTGCCATTGCTATTCTTGTTGCTATTGTAAAGTGAATATGTTGCTTGATCCAGAGTCCCCTCTCTGAAAACATAGATGCTTTCATCCTCATCCAATCGACGAAACTTCTTATCGAAGGGCCGATCATAAACTCTATGGAGTGGCATTCCCCTGAGAAGTAGATGCATTAAAATTTAATTTAATTTCAACCATAGAACAATCATATGGGGCTTAAAAAAAGAAAACAAAAATGCAGAGTCACTGTTATAACACTCAGAAACTGGGATGCTCAGTCTCATAGATCAGGCTTGGTAAAGAGAAAGATATGGTAAAAAGTCTATCTGAACAGTCTTTTCTCACCTAACTAACACATTCAGATCAGGCCAAATTGATTTTTTTCTTTCTGTTGTCTGTTTTTAGACCATTAATTTGTTGATATTAGATTTACTTCTTGCTTTATATCCATGTGAAAATTAAATTAAAAGTGAATGGGTCCAAGTCTGAATATATTTACTATTTAGCACCCAAACAGAGACTAAAGGGAAAGAAAGAGCCTAGTCAGATCTGAAACTTGAAGCCACCACAAGCAAAATGATGTAAATGAAGAAAAGCAAAATGAGTTATGGGCCAGGTTTTTTGCCATCCAATTTTGATTTTAAGACAGCCCAATAACTATACCATTGAAAGATTGGCCCAGTGCACGTTAGTCGGACCTACTTATAAGTTATAATTGAGGATGCCACGCCGAGCACGTGCTGCACGTGTTCTAGGGAGCAATGCACCAGTGCTTAACAATACATCTGGAACGTTATGTCAGTTAAGGTGGGTCCCATCCTGCAGCTCCACATATATGACGTTTCAGATTCAGATGGATGGTTAAAGATGCATGAGTAAGCGAATAAAATATCCTTAGCACTTAAGCACTTCTCTTGTCACTCCAATTAGAATTATGTACTGAAAGAAAACAAAAATCAAGGGGTTCGAGTTCGACCATGATACCGGATGTCCCGTCGGATGGAGAGAGAGAGAGACCATAGAAACAAAATATGAGCTAAACCTGTTAATTACAAAAAAATCCTATGGGCCCAAATTAAGGGCCCACCCAGCTAATTTCTTTTCAAATGGGCATTACAAAAAGTCAAAGACCAATCAAAGCCGGTTTTAATGTATTTATTGAGTTAGAATTTAGAACATGGTAGGGAACAGGCGATGACAGAAGAGGATAAGGCAGGAGGCAGATAACTTAACTAGATCGAACTATATTCATTGTCCCCTTTCAAAATGGACCCTCCCACGTGGAAACAATTTAACCATTGGATCGGTGTCAAATGTGAATGTAAGGTAGATATAAAACTACCCCGCATATGAGGGATCTAAAACTGCCCAACATTAACTTTGTAGTCTATTTGGCCAGTTAAAACTTAAAAGGGTTTGTGCCAATCTCAGCACAGAAATGCAACAAATTGGATATTAGGCTCAGTTTGGGAAGAGTGTTAATTGTTAATTGAGAAACGAGTTCAAATTTGCCCCACAGAATGCGTCCCAAAAATGTCCTAAAGCACATTTCAATCATGTATTAAGAACATTTCCCAATAACGAATACGAGAAATGTTCTCAATGCACGCTGAAATTTGCATGTATAACGTTTTTGGGGCGCATTCTGTGGGGGCAAATGTAAACTCTTGAGAAAGTAGAAACTGTCCTTCGAGCAATTTACTGACCCAAACTACTGGTTGGTTCAATTACTGACTGGTTGAGGCCCAATTACTGACCCAACTATCAGGGCCCACCCATATGATAAGAAACTTTTTCTGCACATCAGATTGGAATCTACTCAACACCAACACCTCACCTAGTATTGTCATATGTCCTATTTGACTCAAATCCACCGGTGAATGTGAGATCCTTATTCAATCACCAAAGTTCAACTTTATTGTTTATGTACTTAGTGAGAGTGACAACGAGAGTATTCTAGTATCTGTTTCCCTAGATACAGGACAAGTGGTAAATTTGTGTAGGCCACACCCATCTACGTGTCCTTTAGCCACATGGCTGAGATGCATCAAAAATCATCAATGACGTTGGGAGTTAGGCTTTTCCCTCGAAAACCAAATTTCAAAGGTATAGAAAATAAGAAAATAAGCAATGAGGAGAGGAGAAGCAAATATTGGAGATGCAGTTACAAAGCCCACAAAATATTATAGCCCCACAACTTAGCCCCATCTCTCAACGGGGCCCACCTTTGATTGGTTCTTCCTTTCTGCGAAATTTCAGGTTCAAATATAATCAAACGTATGCTTTTGTTGCACTCTATATATTTTCATTTGTACACCTTCCAAACCAATCCTATACTTCCAATTTTGCAAGTACAGAATTAACAAATAAAATTAAATAAAATACAATAAAATATAAAAATCAGTTGATGCATAAGACCCAAAACAACTTAAAACTATTAAAAATGCCAAATTAATAACTAATAAGCTTTCCTGGGACCTGGGTGTGGAGATGGCCCAGTCCCAGCGAATGGTCTAATAAAACTTCAATTTTCTTTTAAAAAACCAAATAATACCCACGTAAGGAAAAGAAATAAAATAAATAGAAAAGTGTGGAGAGAAGACTGTCACTCACAGAGGCTGTACAAAATAAAAAGACTCACAGAGGGGAGAGCAAAATACGGACCTAATATGGAAGATATCAGAGATATCGCTCCCAATATCACAGTTTCCTATGTAAAAGGTGACGGCATCGATGAAGGCACGATACGTGTAGGTATGCAGGCCGTCGATTCTCGGATAAGGCAGCTTCGGCCGGGGCAGCGGCTCCATCGGTGATGGATTCCGGTACCCGGAAGCGGAATATACGTACTCTTTCCAGGCTACGCCGCCTGTGTTGGCCGCCGGTGATGGTGATAAGGGAAGACCAATGAAGCCGAGGGTGGCCATGATTGGCTCCAACTCGTCGTGGGTCATGATGGGCTTGAACGTCTTTGTGTGCCAGAGAGCCAGCTTCCTTAGAGACTCCTCCATATGAGAGAGAAAGAGAGAGAAGGTGATTAATGCCCTTTTTTGTTTCTTTTTTAGTGAAGCAGAAGCGTTGGGAGTTGGGACAGACGAGGAATGGAGAAAAAAGAAAAGTGTGAGAGAGCTGAAGCATGGGGAGTGGATTCTACGCTTTCGAGTGTGGAATTTAAAAGGCTATTAATTCATTTTCGAAGTGGCAGTTCTAGAGGAGTAAAAGGCACCGGAAATTGTCTACAATTACGAGAAATGCCACGGAGAAATAGAGATGGGGTACAAGGGCATATGTACAGCTTAGGTCAAAACAACTGGGATTAAAGTTTGATTAGTTGGAAGAGTGAGAGAGAGAGATGACAGTTTTGATTCTCATCTCTCGGTTTCCAAATTCCAACCCAAAAGCCAAATCCAATGTTTTTTCATATTCCAATTTAACAGTTGACAGCTCAATAATATACTCATCAATGTATACTTTTGAAACATTTCCCAAATTTTTTTTAGATTAGAAACATAAATCTGGATAAATACTCCAGAGACAGAGAAATAAAATAGGAAAGAATTTAGAGGTTACAACTTATAAATCCTCAATGCCTTCCCACCTGTCCAACCAATGAACTTRTCAATTTAAATCCTGTTATTAATTGCCAAACTGTCTTTATTGGGTGATTAGGTTTCCTGCTAAACCATAGTTATTGAACCAACCTAAATAATCAGTGCAAAACTGTAAAGGAGGTTTTAGGGCTGTAAATTGCTTGGACTAGCTAGTTCTGACCCAAAGCCTATATAAGTACTTATATATTCATAGCCAACTTTATCATTGATTGGGCTTACCACGTCTGAATTCTGACCCAATAGCACCTGATTTTAAGTAAGAGACATTTAGCTTGGTAATTTAACAGTAATACAGATTCTCTCCCTCTTTCTATGTTTGGTTTGAAGGAAAAAGTATGGAAAGGTAAGGAAACCTTTACAAAGCTTGTATATGTTTCCTTATCTTTCCCTTCTTTTCTCTGCTTTTTCCTTCAAACCAAGCACACCTTTAAGGTCTTGTTCGCTTTCCATTAAGTTATTTATCCAGGTAAATGATTTTCAATAAAGACTTACCTAGGTAAGTGCATTTGTCCATGTTCTTTTATTTCTCATGTAAATAAGGAAATGATCATTTTAACCATAAAAATCCATCRTTAAAAGGAACATTTTTGCCCCATTCAAGTGTTGGCAACTCCTCCCATCTCAGGAAAGTTATTTACCCAATTAGGAGATGGTTATTACTTACCCAGGTAAGTGATACATAGGAAAATAAACATTCCTTGGTCAACAGGAATCAAAATCCCATTGACCAACTTTCCCCCCTCTCAAAATCCGAAAAAAGAACACCCCCTAAGTGTAAATTGTTGAAACCTCCCTTTTACTCTCTTATAGTTGTGGCTCGGCACCCTACTTTATTCTAATAGCAATGTTATCCTCTAAATATTTTGATAATATTGCACATTTTTTTAGTAGACAGAGGTGGGCAAAATTACMAAAATACCCAACTTTGATCATTTGAATGGTAAATTGATTTTTAAATTTGCCCTTCCCTATTACATTGACCATAAAATTTGTGTTTTCTTCTATAGAAGTATATATAGTTTGTTGAATWTTTTTATGTATTTTCTATATTTTCTACTTTTTAAAGAAATATGTAGTTTTGAATGTTTTATTGTTTTCTTTGTTTTTCTACAAATTTTTCCTTTTATTATTTTCTACAATTCTGAATTTTTTGGTTGAAATGTATTTCCGAAAAACATATCCTTTTTTTAATTTGGCTTTTTTGTTAGTATAAATTTTTAATTTTTATAAACTTTTGTGTCTCGTACATTTTTTATTTTTTTTGTGTTTTGAGAAAAATACTGAGTGTGGTGGATATACGGATTCAAGCGATTGGGTTGAGGTAGGCGAGAGTCAGGATAGGTTCTAACCTACTATGCAAATAAGACATAGATGCCTCTTTTTCAAGATATTTTGGTTAGTGTAGGAAATCTTGACATTTAAAAATGTTGAGATGATGACATCAATAACTCCGGTTAACATTCTAACATTGAATTAATGAAGGAGGTGTAAATGTGAAGGACAACGATATTAGGTACTGAACCACAACTGTCAGAAAGTACAGAGGAGAGGAGGTTTCAGCAATTTACCCTTTAAAATATYTTATATATTTTATAAAATAACAATTTTAGATATTTTATATGAGATTATTGCATGAAAACCCAGAGAAACATATATATGATATGGGGGTAGCTTTGTCATGTTTTAGTATGCAATATGCATATAAGCAGTTATTTAAATATAATCCTGGAATAGGTCGACTGAGAAACAAGGACGGCATGACCCTGTTTCATGCTGCAATTATCTACCGTCAAGATAAGATACTCCAATTCATCCACAATTTTGATATGCCAAAGAATATAACAAGTAGTTACGTTGATAAGAAGACAGGAAACAGYACATTACATCTTGTAGCAGAGTTACCACCTATTCATTGACTTAATCAAATCAATGGTGCGGCTCTTCAACTGCGGAGTGAGCTTATGTGGTTTATGCTGAGTTTTCTTCTTGCAATTTCTTCTTACTTCTTCATACTCTGCCTGTATATTTCTAATATATAGTTGTTTGATCTCATCATTGCAGGAAGTGCAAGCCATTCGCACACCTCTCCACCAACAAGAATGTAACAAGAACGGTAAAACTCCTAAGATGTTATTCACTGAAATGCACGGTAGCATGTTCAAAGAAGGAGAGGAATGGATGAAACGAACCGCATATTCATGTATGGTGGTGGCCACACTTGTCGCTTCAGGTACGCTTTCATCAACTTTGCAATTACCTGGTGCAAGTAGAACCGACACAGGCATCTCCATTTTCATCAAACATAGCTACTACCACACTTTCGTTGCCTCAAATATGATATCGCTTCTCTTCTCCTATGCTTCCATGATTGCCTTTCTCTCCATTTATATTTCACACTTTGCAGTAACAGATTTCTTAATGAAAAATTTCTCTTTAAATCCGCTTGCTTAGTGAAAGAATCTAAAATAGAAGGAATTATCGTCAGTGCTGTTTGTTTGTGTATCATAAAATCGAAAAAGATGAAGAATGTTTTTCTTCCAATTGTCCATTACAAAGATAATATGGAGATTAAAAAATATTACTTTTATATATACACCAACAATCATAATTAATTAAACTAAGACGACAATCAAGAAGAAAACCGTTGTTTACCATAATCTGTCCCAACAGTTTTGATTGTCGGCTTACAATATATAGGCCAAAAATTCTTTGGAAAACCGTCAATTTTTTGTCATTGCCTAAGCTAGCGGTTTCATTAATATAATTACCAACTTTTGAATGGTTGGACCGGTGCCCTAGGGTGGCGGTCCTTTTCCTCTAAGCCAATATAAGTCGGCTAGGCTGATTCAACCAATGACGACATCCATTAAACCGCTAGTATTGGTTTAGGCCGGCAGTTTAAGAGGATAAATCGACGGTTTTGTCACTGCCGTCTTAGGGGAATTTTCTTATAGTGATCAAATCTGGTCATTATAACTTTGGCCCATGCAAGAAAAGCTTTAATGAGTTAAGCTGGCCATATCATTCATTGCTTTGACAGTTCTATCTCTACCATCATTGCTCCTCCCCTCTATCACACGTCCATTGTTCTCGATGAAGACCCTACCATGCCTCAAGAAAAATCATTCAAAAAAAAAAATTTTTTTGAGGGATGTAAGCAAAGATATCATGCAGGAATAAAATAACTTGTGGAGTTAATTGGAGCCAATAGTTTCCTCTGTCACCAAATGTATTTTCGAATGGGTGAGCCCATAAATATTGAACCGGATTTTTGGTTTTGAACGCTCCTGAACTTTGTGAAAAAAAGGCTAATTTTCACCCTAAAAATATAAAAAAGCCATTTTGACCTCAAATTTTGACGAAGAGGCCATTTGTAAGAAAAAAAAATGACATTTGAAACGATGTTGATGGATCCATTAGGCAGTGAATAAAATAATAAAAACATGCTTATATGATATTGCTAAAGTTAGAAAAGGCCGTTTTAGACCCTAAAGTTAATTAATTACTTTAGGGTCTATGATGGTATAAAATTCATTAAGTAAATTAAATATGTTACACTAATTAAGATAATTAAGCAATTAAATAAACTATGGAAACAAAGTTAATTAATTGAATTAAATAAACCAAGCTAATCAATCTAAATAAGTAAATTAAGCCAATTAAGTAATGTTTTTAAAATTGACCCCGAAATGGAATCACTTTGGTCACTGGTTTATGGGTTAATGGTTTGATCATCTGATTTGAACAGATCAATCCATGACATTTTGAACAATAAAAAATAAAATATAATTAAAATAAAAAATGACCCAAAGAATTTAGCGGTTCAACCATCTAGGTCAATAGTTTGTTGACCAAGTCAGTGTTTTTTTTTCTTTTTTTGAAAAAAATAGAGCCAAGTATAAAATGGAACTAGACAAATGACTAGTTTGTGGGTAAAACGATTCGATTGCGTGGGTCAATGATGATGTTAAAACCATGCATTAAGCGAATTGTCTAATTCCATTTGACCTAGATAGTTGAACCATTTAATCCAAGAACCGGTCAATTGTATAGTTCAATTTTATACTTGGACAAAAATTTTTCAAAGAAAGAAAGACTTGGTTAACAAACCATTGACCTAGATGGTTGAACCACTACTAGGGATGGCAATTTCTACCCTACTCGTTGGGTACCTGCCCCAACCCTCCTCGATAGGGTGGGTTYTTTTTTTGCTTGAGGAATGGGTTTTGGGATTCTACAACCCGTATGAGTATGAGTAGGGTACGGTATTAGACTAAACCCGATTGACGTATTGTTGGAAAGCATATAAACTTTATGTACTAGGTTTTAAATTTAATAATATTTTAAATGTTACATGAAGGATAATTGATAGTTTATGTGTTTCTTACACGCCTTAATCAAATAATAGGAAATTTTGTTGTTTATTTGTGTTATTTTACTTATTCATTACTTATATATGACAATAAATAATAGGAAATTAGATGAAGGTTCTAAATTCAACCCACCCTTACCCTTGAATGTAGGGAGGGTAGGGTTGGGGAGGGTTTTGCATTTTCATATACAGGGAGTGTTTGAATTCTCAAAACCCAACCTGCTATGGGGTTTTGGGGCGGGTATGGATTAAGAGGTTTAAGGAGGTGGGTAAAACCCTCTCCGAACCCACCCCATTGTCATCCTTAACCACTACAATGTTAATGCCATTTTGGGTTGGTTTTAAAAACCTTGCTTAATTGGCTTAATTTACTTTATTTAGACCAATTATCGTTATTTAATTAATTAACTAATTCCATTTCATTAATTAATTTAATTTACTCACTTAATTGCTTAATTTGCTTTATTATCTTAATTAGTGTAATGTATTTAGTTACTTAATTAATCTTATATCATCATAGACCTTTAAGTAATTTAATTAATTAACTTTAGGGTTTAAAGTGGCCTTTTCAAACTTTAAGTAGTGCCACATAAGTATGTTTTTATTATTTTATTCAATTTCTAATGGATCTGTGGTGGTTGTTTCAAATGTCGTTTGTTTTTGCCTAGAAATGGCCTTTTCATCAAAGTATGGGGCAAAAATGGTCTTTTATATTTTTTAGAGTTGAAATTGGCCTTTTCACAAAATTTGGGAGTTGTGAAAGCCAAAAATCTATATTGAACCCATAATGGTTCTAATAATATAAATGGAGGGTATTATGGTTATTTTATCCTTACAATTAATGGATTCTAATAAAAGGAGTGTACTTGCAATAGTGTCATAAACTCCAGGGAGCTGATTGTTATTAGTAAAAATTAGGGGAAGGTTTTGCAATTATTAGAAACTTCATTCTCTAAAAGGGAAAAAGGTCGTTTACTAAATCACCTCTTGTAGTTTCTTGGATTTACTAAAACCTACTCTATAGTTTGAATTTTACTAAAACACCTCTATAATTTGCAACTAAGGTTCAGTTTGGAAATAGTATAAATACAAATATATGTAGTGCAAACATAAGGTTTGCAATACAATATATAAGTTTTTGTTTTGTACCCTTTCCAATTTGAGCCTAATTTACTTAATCAACATTCTATTAAATGGAAGTGAAAAATGACAATTACGAAAAAACAAAAATAGAAATGTCATTCTTATTCATAGTAAAATGTGGTCAACAACTCTCTTCAATGAAATTTATTGTTTATTTGAAGAAGGAAGACACACCATTGCTAACGAAAAACTTGAAGTGTCATTGTTCTCTCTTCTTCATTCTATTGAAGCCAAACATCTTTTTAATAAATCTAAAAATCAGACCTTATTTCTTTCTACAAGCTTGTTATGAAGTTTTAGGAGTGCTTTCAAAATAAGAAAGCATGGGCTCATTTGCTTAAACATTTTCCACTTTGCTTATATGGTCATGTTGCCATATTTAGATGGAAATACAGAAGGGGTGTTTTACAACATGAATTGTTTTTTTTGTTGTCGGTTCTAAAAACAAATTAAAACCATATGTTTTGAAAACATATTGTTTCTCAACACAAAAACACAAAAACATGTTATGGGTTGTGTATTTGTTTTCTGTTTCAAAACTAGAACCGAAAACATTTTCTTGAACCTTGTTTCAAAAACATGTTTCCATCTAATTATTTAACTCCGTGTTTTACGGATCATATGATTTCTATACTAAAAAATTGTTTTTGTTTGAAAACCGATATTTTATTGATATTATTTTCTTGAAACAAAACCAACTCATTTTTCTTTTTTTAAAACAAAATTAGAATTCAAAAACATATTTTTATTTTTATTTTTCTAATGTGACAATTCCAAAAACAAATGAAAACAAAAACATTAAATTTTGTAGAACGCGCCTAAATGATTAAAAGAAAGTGTGATTTCGGTGAGACGCGGGTATGGGGCGTACAGTATTTTGATTTTGGGCCCAACTCGAGAGCTCGGATTGGGTCGGGCCGGCTTCGGCCTAAGTTGCAGCCCTAACTCCCAAGCGTGCAAACTGCTCTATCCACTATCGAAAGCATTCACTTTTGTGGGTTTAGGAATCTTCTCGAATTGAAGGATCGCGCTCGAGAAGGGGAAAAGAGTACTCTGCTGACCAGAGAACGAATAGAGAAGGCGTTCCATAAGGAAGATTCGTTTATTTGAGGTATTTCTTGCTAAACTGACCTCTCCTTCAATCTCTCTTTCTTTGTTTTTGATTTTATTTCGAGTTAGTTATCGATTTGATCAGCGTTAAACCATGAATTAATAGATGTTTTCATTGCTTGATTCTTTAGATTGCTTTATATGATTTGGTTATTGCTATAGAAGCTTGTTGTTCATGAAGAGATTCATGGATTTTTTTCTAAATTAGGGTCTTCTTCGCAACACTCTTTAATCTTGATATCTGCTCGATTTCTTTTGCCTAATTATTTATTTCTGTTACAGTGAACAAGATGGGGGCTGGCAGTGTTCTTCCATTGTTATTTTGTTTTGTTCGTATAACAAGCTTTCTCTTCCCTGTTACTTTTTAAAAAAGTTTTTAGTTTCGATTAGAGCTTTTAAAGAGCTGGTTCACTGTTTAGACTATTAGATCAATACTGTTCTTTCTTGTATGTTCTGTTCGTAGTCAAGGACATTTTTGCATGGATACAAGCTGAACCAGCAAATAGTAAAATAACGAAAATATTGGTGGTGAATGGTTAATTCTTGATTAAACTTCCATACCGGTTTTTTCTTTTTAGTTTTTTTTTTTTATTATTAAAGAAAAAGAGAGAGGGAAATTAAGACTCTTGGGCAGGTGGTTCCATGCTAGTCTTTACATTCTATAATTATAAAGCATTAATATCCACTTAGATGGGTTGATTTTGTTTGTTAGGAAGGTTTTGTATGTATGCTGCATCTGTCAAGCATTGTCAATTATTGGGCTCTAGAATGCTACATGAAGGAAGGAGGTAAGAAGACAAGGTTGTTAGCTCCCCGGTTGAACATTATGTTCAGATGGATTCCAAGATCAGCCAATTTACTAGAAAGATGAAATAGCCGGATGAACATTACGTTCTGAGTTTCGACATACTTGTACAACTTTTTATGGGCATTCTGACATGCTTATACTAATAAACCACTTTGATCATTGTGACAAATGAAAGATCAAAATGTAAAATGTTACTTCCTTTTCATCGCCAACTACAGGAAACATACACTTAGTTGTGAAAAAAGTATAACTTCAGATGTCTTTTTTTTGATAATTCACACTAAATTACAATGCATTTAAATTCTAAATGTTACATTTAGTAATACTTCTCAGCAGATAAAATTGAAATGTTGTGGATAAAGACCACTATTCCTTTCCCTCCAATGGTCTAACCCTTCTACATATGTATACATGTGTTTGTAATTTTGCAATCAATTGTAGCTCTAATAGCCAACTACTAATTGTTTTCTCCAATGAAACATGAGCATGCCAATAATGGAAATTAATTCAAAACATCATGTAAACTTCTTTTTTATTTCCATTGTTGGTGTATCTGTGTCTCATTAGTGGGTTGCAAGGGGGTGCTGTTACCATGATTGCAGCAGATGTGCTCTTGCTATCTAGGGCCTTCAGAGGGGTGAACTAGATACAGAGCTAGCCTTTGGCAGTTTTTTGCACAAACTGGATGTTCTCAGACTCAAACCTGCTTTCTCATGCATGTCAGCCTGAGATGTTACTATTGAACTTTAAGTTGGTTTTCATGTCAACCATTGATCTTTATATCTGCTAGTTTTATTTTTTAAGACCTATGGAATATACAAGGCTTTTATTCAAAGAAGTGGCCATAGATTCATAAAATGAAGGACTACATGCATGTTCATCTTTGTTACTTAAAATATGTGGATTCCCTTACCAATGGAGTGCCTTAACAACATAACATCTCATGGTGTAGCAGTCTTTCCATTCATTTCTTTTAGGCAAAGAATGCTAAGAACTTAAGTTGTTTCACCTGGTGAAACCCCTAAGAAATTTCTTCATTGATCTCTTGCGGTACTCGACAAATTCTTATTTTTTGTAATGGATTCCAGTCTACATAGGGTAAAGGGTGTAAAAGTGCATCATAAAATATCAAATTTCAACTTAGAGATCCATAAAATGAGCTTTGCCCTTTTTGTTTTTTGTATTTTAATTCCATTGTAATTGCTCCAACCTATTTTTCTAACTTGACCTGGATAATCTCTTTGGCTTTTCATATGTTTGTTTTTTCATATTACTTGATTTATAGCATGCACATAGACGTTCTCTTAGTATCTCCCTCTCACGTTAGTAGAATAAAAATTTATCCCCAAGTTTTTCATAGGCCATACAACGTTGCTTTCTATTTCTACTTCAAATGTTTGGTTCACTCATAGTAAACTACTTTTAATGTTTTCTAGTTGTTACATCAATTAGTAAAACAAACTAATTCATAAAAAGGGATATAAATTACACTCACCAAGATTTCTTATATTAAAAATTATTGCCCTGGCAACAAAGTGTTCAGCTATCATCCGGCCTCAACTTAGTGCCTTCAGCCTTGATAACCATGAAACGATCCACATGGTCATTTTCTKAGAGTCAAATTGTTCTTGAAGTGTACATTAACTAGGGGCTATGAGGGACTATGAGGGAGAGAATGTTCTGGGCAGTTTTGTAAGAAAGCGCTTCTTATCAATATTATTTTATGATTTATGAATTTTATCTGCTATTTTTTTTCAAAAAACTTTTGAGTCGTGTGTTTTCTTAGTCTGGAGGTTTGTACTTGCCTTTTTAGGCCTAGCTTCCTCATCTCTGTCTTAGCCTTTTAAAACTTTGTCCTAAACTAATTATGGGCTATTAATATCAAAAGAACAATACAAAATGGTCTTTTGGTTTGACCTAAGCTTTCTTTGTGTTAATGCAGATTGGATTCTTCTATAGAATTGCCAATGAGGGGTAGAAGCTATAGTTACAGTCCATCGCCACCAAGGGGTTATGGAAGAAGAGGTCGGAGCCGTAGCCCTAGGGGTCGCTATAGTGGTCGTGGTAGAGACCTTCCTACTAGTCTTTTAGTTCGCAACCTTCGCCATGATTGCAGGTTTGTTTTATCTTAACATAACTGCTCCCTTTTTGTGTAATTTTCAAAGAGGTTTGGATATTACAACAATTTTCTTTTGTTCTGATTTGGCTTCTCCCTTCATGTTGTTGTGAACGCAATAGTTATAGTGGAACAGTTTCACACAAAATTTTCATCCTTTCATGTTGTTAAAAGTTTTTTTTTTTTTTTTTTTTTGAGAAGTCAAAGCAATGTGGTATACTGAATTCAGAAAAGTAAGATTGTACGAAAGTGGGTCTCTGTAGTCACAATGGAAGCTATACAACATCATCAACAGTTGATTCTGTGCAGAAAAGATGCTATGAGAGCTTGAAGATGGAGAGGTGAACTTCCCTGAAATCTTTCTGGATAGAAATCCAGGAGATGGGCACTCCTAGGTTTACTCATAACCAAGTATTCTTTGGTTTTATTTAACATTAAAGATTGTTCCGAACGTTACAAAGGATTGCAAAGGGAATTGTTTCTAAGGTCATTTTCCTCACTTTCTGAACTTCTTTGTTTTCCAATTTTGGAGCAATCCCAAGATTGCAGAAGAAAATAAGCAAGTTATGCCCAACAATCACAAAACGTGGGTCTAAACATCGGGATAATGACAATCAATAAGTGAGTGGCTAACTGCCTCTTTGTTCAGGGAACGTAAAATTCAGTTGTCATCTACATCGCCTTCCTTGATGGTCAACTTGTCCTTAGCTAAATACTTAAAAAGCAGCCTGTTGCCAGTATGAGAATTCCACATTACAGTGCTTGGGTAAGACCTATTATACAGTTAATGGAAAAAACTAGGTATCAAGAACTGATTAGATGGACCCTGTAACCACATTCTAAGGTCTATCTCTCTTTTCCTTTTATTTTAGGGTGGTGGTGGTGGTGGAAGTGTAACTTCAGTGTAAGATTTTGATTAACAATGTACAATGGTGTGGTTTTGTTCACCATTTTTGTCCACGAATAACTCATGTACGCAGAATGGAGGAGGAAAAAAAAGGGGAAGTAGCTCTGAACCTGTTTTGGTATCCTTTGTTTCGTTCTCTGGTTTTCTCTTAGTAGTTTCTTTGTTGCAGTTTTTTAGCCGGTTGTTTTCTGGTTTTCTCTTAGTAATTTTCTCTTTTGCAGGCTTTAGTAGTTTGTTTTGAATCTTTCTCCAGTTTTAGATTGTCACCCTTCTCCTCTTGCTGTCTTCTCCTTTCAGTTTTTTATCGGTTTCATATCAAGTGTTTTCTCACAATTCTTTATGCAGGTTGGATCATGGGAATTAAAGGTAACAAAAGGAAACACAAATTGCATATCCAAAAATGCATCAAGGATCAATGCAATGCTTTCTAGTCTAAGGAGTCTAGGGCTAAACCCATCAAAAAGAATGGTGAATTCCCTCTTCACAACCAGGATACCAAGTCCTGTGAAACCAAGATGATGGAAAGCCATCGTAGATCAGACAAGTGCAAATTACAGAGATCTAAGAAGAGCTTCCCTTAAATAGTTAAATGATACTTGTGAAAAAATGGGTATGAAACTGACAAGGAATCACAAAAGCGACATTGTGATCCTAGACTGAACAATGCAGGTAGCATTTGCTTTCAGTTCAAGGGAAACTCTTCCTTGTCTAATTTCCCCCATGTTTGTGAGATGGGAAACGACAATATGGTCAAGAAATGTCCTATTGGCAAAGTCCATTCAATGAAAGATGATGAGATTTTTAACTGAGGGAGTTGCTTAGTTTGGACTCAATTTTTTGAGCGTAAAGAATGGACAAATACTGTTATGGGACCAGATTAAGAACAACCACAGTTTTTCACCATGGTGTGAAAGGATTAACATAAAGCTTAAAATGGTTGTTCAAATAATATGAAGGGATCAGCCTAATGAAGTGGGTAGTAATGAAAGCTTGCCGAATGTCCTTTCTTATGAAAGGGTGAGTCTTGACCCCCCCACCCAGTGGTAGGCACATGCTTGCATGGGCTTAAGAGCAATGGGTTGCTTGGCAATAAGTTGGCTTGTTTCAACTGCTAGGGTGAGACTTGAAACACATGTAGTGTGGGTTTGATTGAAACTCTGAACTAGACCATTTTTCAGTTATGCCCTGGACTTTGGAGACAGATGGGCAAAACTGGAAAGTTACACCTAACCCTTAGACTTGATTATGGTACTACACTAGGTGTTGGATTGGGTTATCTTTGATATGCCAATTAGTGAGATCCTTAGCGGGGGTCAAAACCTAGGTATGTTGGGGCAGTCTGAAAATTCACYTGAGTGGGTGATCATAGTGACAGAATTATCCCCTTTGTCGAACAAAGTGAACGATCGGGAATAACACTTTCTGATGGAAGCCTAAATTGTCGGTAGTTGATTTCAAACGTGTTTGAGTTTTGTTTTGCAAAATTTATTTATATATAGATATACATATATTATGTTTTATGAAAAAGTTTGCAAAATGTTTTAATTCCTGGGATCCATCCTGAGTCGAGAGTGCAACACTGTACCTTGCAGTTGAGGGAGATGTCTTCTCTTGTCGGGTAGTGTTTGATCATTATGGGCTGAGAGGTTAAGTGTAAGACCATTTATGGTTTTTACCTGATGGGTTAATCTCACTTAGGTTCATAGTCCTTGGGCCTTCATAAGGTGGTTGGACTCAAGGACCATTTAGTGTAAATGTTGGGCCTGTTAAGAGCCTATACTGATGGGCTCAGGGGTTCACTGTATACAACAGTGAATTCGGCCAGGCCTTGTAACAAAGGCTACGCTGAACCCATATGGTTTTTGTGGAGATCAATGTTAGGGTCCCACGCCATACAAAGAGAGCCAAGCTAGCCAGCAAATTAAAAGGGAAGTGAACCTGATAACTTAATGGGCCTAAAGCCCAATTCGACGTAGGCTAATCTTATTAATTAAATATGGGCGAATTTGATATTAGATTTAGATATGGATTAGCAAGAGGATAAGATAAGTCTTATCCACTTAAGAGTTCATATCCAAATAAAGATTTGGATCAAAGAACCCTTTCCTAATAGGATTAGGAAGCTGATCCATAAAGATTACAAATAGAGGGCGATATCCTTCTGTTAGAGGCTTTTGCTAAATCTAGTTCTTCTCTTTGTTCTTGCCGCCCTACCCAGTTCGATCTCCATATTCTTGGATTGATTAAGAATAGTTCTTGATTCTGATATTTGCTAGAAAAATCAGATATGAAGTTGTGCTCGCATCCCCTGCGTGATCCTTGTTGAAGGATTGTAATTCTTGCTGAAGAGTTGTTTTGCTAATTCTGCTTCATCCTAAGCTGTGTCATCTTCAGTGGAAGTGGGATTTGGTGACCTCTTTGGGCGTGAACACCTACGTTGAGAGCTACATTTGTGGATTCCATATCAGGTATAATCCTACATTATTTTCGGTTATAAATCTGGTTCGGTTTGTTTCAAGAACGAACCTTGAAAAATGTAGTTTTTCTAAAACAAGGAATATGATTCCCGGATGGGAGAAAGAAAATGTTTGAAATTTCGCCTAACCACCATGCATGGTTCGGCCATCCATATAATGGATCTCCCAACCCTTCAGTTTTGGCTCCCCAAGTGAGTCATTGTCCCCAATTAGAAAAAGAAAAAAAAATCAGACTTGAACGCCGATTCAAAGAAAACCATATTTTCCCATGCAAGGGTAAGGGTGATGGGTATATCAAATAATATCTATTTGCATGTCCCAATATGTGTTGAGATTGAACCCGATGCTCAAGATCTCGGCATGAAGGAAATTGAATACAAATACCCCAGCTCTAGTAATGGCTCTTTGCCTTCTCTTTCTCGAAGTGGAGAGACCTGCTCAGAATGTCAATAAATGATAGTGGGGGGAAACCAGTTCAAAGAACTGGAGATATTAAGTTCGAAAAGAATCAAAGGGATCTTGACATGGGAAACCAACATGTTAACTCTTACCAAAAAATTAGGAAAACCAACTATCGAGAAGCTCCTCTCGGTTACGTGCATGCGCGCAAGGGTAAAAGAATTAATGATACAGGTATGCATCAAAGAGAGGGTGATCATTGTTTAAGTAATGAGAACTTAAAGGGGCGGCCAACCCAAATAGAAGTTCTCAAATATAGAAGTACAAATTGCTACTCAATGACTCAAATGGCTTTTGGGAACTGGAGTTCAGTCTATACTTCTATATTGATAGGCGAGAGGAAGTACTGACAGACAATACTCAAACATTGCCTGTGCTGTAAATCTAGATGAATTGAAGGCAAATTCCAAAATTGATGATAGGTTGTCGAATAGCCTGTTTGCAAAAATATTGGGGAAGGGAGAACCCCTTAATGTGATCACAGAGAAAGCCAAGGAATGGAAGCTGGAGTTAAAGACAGATATTTGGAAACTAGGTAATGGTTTTTTCTTAATTTCCTTCTCTTTACAAGAAAATTACAAGAAAGTGATCAAGGAGGGGCCCTGGCTGATAAAAGGTAAATACTTGGTCCTTGTCCCTTGGAAGTCGGGGTTTAACCCATTCAAGGCAAAGCTAGAAACAACAAATATATGGTTTAGACTTCTGGGGTTACCTCTGGAGTGTTGGAATAAGGAGGACCTTGAAATTATTCTGAAAGAGGTAGGTCTGGTAGTGAAACTTGATGATGACACAGAAAAAATGAAAAAAAAAACTATGTACCGGGAGTCTAAGTCTGAGTTGATCTAAATGCACCTTTCATACTTAGGATTCCCATTACCCAATGGGGGGAGACCAAGAGCCATTTGAAAGTTTTCTATGAAATTTTTTTTGACCTTTGCATCAATTGTGGATGGAGAGGTCAAAAGTATTTTGAGTGCTCAAAAATTAAGGGTAATAAACATGATGACGGGTGGACATTGGTTCAAAATAAAAGGAAGACAAATTTCTTGAAATTGAACGAAGAAACAAGGCAGCTAAATAGGAGGTTTTTGGCTAGAAGAAAGGAACAAACATGGAACACAAGGAAAGATTAGTGGACTCAAGCCAAATTGGTAAGA